GTGTGCAGAGAACAGGGCAGCTCTATGGGAGCAGGAACAAGGCTGCCTCTGTTTGCCACCCAAGGGGGTGAGGGGGAGGGGGCAGCAGGGAAAGTCTCGAACCCGGCCAGAATCTCAGGACTGTGGCAAGGCCAGGCTGCCCAGGAGCCCCCACCTAGTTTCCAAGGGACAAGGAAAGAAAGTTTCTTGCTCTGGGAAGACAGGGCCCGCCTAAGGATAGGCAGAGGCCACCTCCTGCATTTGGCTACTGCTCCCTCCTCCTGCCACCTCATGCCAGGGATGTGCCTTGGGCATAGGGTCCCACAGTTAGACCAACAATCACTACTTCATTTGCTTACAAATATTTGCTCAAAGCCTACTGCCTGCCAAGGATCTCCAGCTCTCAAGGGGCAGCAATAAAACCACTCCCCAAATGTGAAATCACAACTGGACTGAGGGGCCTCAAGGAAGAGATGGGCGGGATCAGAACAGCCCCTGGCCAGACCACATACGAGGTCAGAGGCTGACCCAGCCCCTGACAGGGAAAGCTGTCTGGCTTCTTCAGTGGCAGTCCTCCCCTGAAACCAGGCCTGGCACTCCTTCCCCTTCCCGCATGCCCTGAGCAAGGGCAGGAGGAAAGGAAGAAGGGCAGTGACCTGCTCTCCTCTGTTTTGGGCACACATTTAACTTAACCTCCGCCACAGAGCAGCCCTCAGCCCCTCCAACCTAGCACCCATCAAACCTCATAGGATCATCCATAAGCAGAATTAGGGTATATCTCCTCCACCCCAGAGACCCTGGGGCACCCCAGAGCCCGAGGGATAAAGGCCTAACCCCTCCAGTCCACACCTCTCCCACCCGACCCATGCCAGTGCTCCCCCACACGTGCCCTTCGTTCCTGCCGGCATGAACTGCAGGCCGTTTCACTCCTCCAGCTGCCACCGGCTCTTCACACTGCCTGGAATGCCCACTCCCTCTCTATCCCATTAACTCCTACGCTGAACCACCATCTCCCTGGGGAGCCCCCTGTTCCCCCCCCCAGGCTCCTAAGGAGGCCACTCTGTATGGTGGATGGAATGGACATATCCAGCCACCACCGAGGGGTGTATGGCAGCTCTGCCTGGGGTTCTCTGAGCCTCAGGTTTCCCATTTGTAGAATGGGATGCAGGAATGCTCTGACCAGTAAATGTGATATAGTGTGTTCCTGGCACTAGTGGCACCAACCAAGACCACCTTTCTCCCTGTTTCACCATCCCACTCTAGACTTGAAGCTACTGGAAGGCAAGGAGTATGATTCGGAGGCCTCGGCAACTTACACAGATGTTAGCACAGAGCAGGTGCTCCCTGCATGATGAATGAACCCCCATTTCACAGCCAAAGAAACTCAGCCACTAGGGGAGATACAGGGCTTATGTCCCTCTCCAAGCTTATGTCCCTCTCAAAGGGCAAGCTGTTGGCCTCACTTTTATTAAGGACCAGGCCAGAGCAGACTGAAAAGGCTGATTTGGAACCAGGCCTCACATCCCCAACTTCCACGGCCAATCTTGCACACTCCCCACATCTCAGGCCCTGTCCAGGCTCACAGCCAAAGCCTAACTCTGCCTGTGCCCAGGCCTGCCTGGCGGTCTCTTCTGGGCCCACCTTTCTCTGAACCTCTTCAGCAGGAATCAAGACTGACTAACTTCTGTCTGCAAAGAGTAAGCACTTTCAAGATGTCCCTGGAACTGTCCTCACCAACCAAAGGGGCTCACTAACTTGGCCCTTTCCTACCTGCAGAGGGGCTATACAACTCACATTTACCTTGTCTGGTGGTTAGTGGGAACCTGGCCTTCCCTCTCCCCACTCCTGATACTCCAGAGTCCACCAAAGAGGTGAGTTACTCATTGACAGTGCAGTAGTGCGCGCTGCCCGCCGTTTTCTGCGTGTTCAGGCGGGGCGGGGAGCTCCACCATTTACCAAGCACCTGCGATGACCCAAGGCGCTCATCAATCACCCAGCGAAAGTGTTGGTGTATGGACAGGAGGGTCCCTCCCTGGGTGTCAGAGGCTAGAGGTCTGCCTTTGTCAATCCCACCAGGCACAACCAGGAAGGACGGTTCCTACTGAGGGGCAGCCTCGACCCTCCTCCCTACCCCCGGCCCGCGCGGCGAGGACCCCACCAGTGGCCCTGGAAGGGCGGGGAAGGGGCTGGCCGGTCCCCGGCGGCGGTGGCGAGGAGGGGGCGCGGAGGAGCAGCTCCACCTCCTCAGTCTCCCAATCGCGTTACAGGCGGAGCCGCCGGAGTTTCCCTTCGCGCGGAGAAGTGTGCTCCCAACTCTGAGGACCGAAGCCGCCCACCACTCGCCCGGGCTGCCCCTGCCCGGCGGGTCGAGGCCTCGGGCGACCCCACTTCGGAGCCTGGGTGCTCGCCGCCCGGCCCGAGCCCTGCACTCACCACCGGCCGGCCCGCGGGACGTGCGCGCCGAGGCGGGCGCCGGCCGCTCCGGCCGCAGGATCTGCGCGCGGCCTCCCCCCGCAGAGGTGGGTCTGGCGGAGCCGCAGCTGTTACCCGGAGACCGAGGGGCGGAAAACTGCGCCCGCCGCCCGCCCCTCCCGCCGCGGCGCTGCCACCGCCGGGAACAAAGGAGACAAAGCCGCGTCGGCCGGGCCGGCTCCGCTCCTTCCCCCCTCGCCCGCCGGGCCGCCCTCCCCCCGCCCGCCGCCCGGGCCAGGCCGGAAGCAGCCGGGAGAGCCGGGCACGCGGCCCCGAGCCGCCCGGGACCCCGCATTCCAGCCCCGCGGGCTCCGCGTTTGCCTAGGGCGGGGGGCTCGACCCCTCCCGCGTGGGGGAGGGGCAGGCTGCACAGCGGCGGTAGCCATGGCAACGTGGGTCGCGGGGGAGGGTGAGGAGCCGAGTCCCGAGCGTGGGCGGCCCCGCCCCGCCCCCGCCGAGCCTCACCTGCGGGAGCGTTGGAACTGGAACTGGGCGCTCTCCTGGGATGGGTGGGGCTGAAGTAGGGGTCGTGCCCCTAACCCCAGGTGCAGGTGGTGCAGCGCCCCGGCTTCTTCCCGCCCCGCCGGGGCCGGGTCGCACCGCGCGTTGCTCACCTGCCGGGCCTGTTTGCTAGCCACCGCGCCCTCTGCCCGCCTTGTCCAGCGCTCCCCTTTCCCTTCCTGTACCCGCCTCCCGTGGTCGTCCTCCCCCAACTTTCTTTACCTGAATTCCCTTTCGCACCCGGCTCGGGCCACCGCCCCTTCTCCCAGGAGACCCCAACAGCCAGCCCCTCCTTCCGGCCCCCACCTCTGGCTGTTTGAGGAAAGCACAGGCTTTGGACCTGGGCACGTGCTATCCACTAAACCGTGTAATCTGACACCCTCCCCCCGCATGCCTATTTGCTCACCGGCAAGTGGGGTCAATACCACCTAGTCGGGCTGTTACAGCGGGGCCCCTCAGCTGCAGGGTGCACAAGCAAGGGCTCATTTCCTTCCTTTCTTCCCAGGCCTGTACCTGGACCCACCCCAAGCTGAGAAGCCTTGGCAAGTCTGGACTCCCTCACTGGCAAACACCTGGGCCTTATGCAGAGGAAACGTTGGCAGATGGGTTCTCTTCTGAGGCCCGTTTGTGCCCTGTGCAGGGCCCTTCACACTTTGGCATTCTCAAAACACTCAGAAGCCGGGACCCAGCCCATCCTATTAGGACTTTTGGAGGACTTTGGCTCAAGGCCATCAGCACAGCTTCCTGGGAGGCAAAATACACATCACCTGAAAGCCACCAAGGCTTACACAGGCTAGGGGAGCCTCAACCAGGAAGTTGAGGTCATCCACACTGGCCACTGCCCTAAGAGCTAACACTACAGACACCCTCTTCCCACCTCTCACCCATCACCAAGGGTCTGCTGTCACTCTCATCTTCCAGGCTGTGCCTTTCAAATTCTCCTTTCCCAACCTCTCAGGTCACCTGTTTTCCTCCACCCCTACTTCTAACACCTGAGTCCAGGCTCTCAGCATTTTGTCTGCACCAGCATGGCCATCCCTCCCCAGTGCCTTCCCCCTGGCCTCTGTCCTCAGGGACCCAACCTGGCACTCCAGGTCCTCCACCTCATTGTCTACCTTAAGCCCCACAACTCCCCCACACTCATCACCATCACAGCCAGGACAGTTTGCCCCAAGTTACTCACCCACCTTGGCTTTCCTGCTTCTGCAGCTTGTGGGGCCCTTTCCACACACCTAGAATCTTCCCTTCCCCAAATCCATTCACTCAAGTGTATACCCTTGAGGACCTACCCTGCCCCAGAGAGGAATCTGGGACTTAAGAATCCCACACCCCTCTCATCTGTGCACAGATATGGCACCTCCTACCCCATCAGGAGTGTGAACACTAAGTGCAGAGGTCATTCCATCCCATGCCATTCTGGGGAACCACTATACATCAAGGATGGAGTGACCAAATAACTGAAGGACTAGGTCCTTGGAGGTTCAGAGAACCCAGGGGGCCACTTGGGGCATGCTTGCTGCCCAAGTCTGAGCAGAGGCTCCAAGAAGGGAGGGTGCTTTGTGGGAAACAGGCTAGAAGGGATGGGCCTCAGGCTAGACTTGAACTCCTGGGCTCAAGTGATCCTCCTGCCTCAGCCTCCCGAGTACTGGGACTGTAGGTGTGTGCCACCATACCAAGCTCTGTCCCCAGCAACATTTATCAACCATTCCCCCAGTCTCTCTTCACTACTCTCCTCTGGTCACTTCTCTCCCCCTATGACAGAGAAAGTGATCCAGAAGAAGGAAAGTAACCAGAGTCCCCAATAAGCAGGCAGCAGGCTAGGTTCCACCAACGCAAACCAAAAGCCAACCGAAAAAAGAAAGGCAAAAAAACAAAAAGCAAGCCAAGAAAACCAAAAAGAAAAACCAAGCCCCAAGAAGACATTCAAAACAGTCCTGAAAAAATGACCAAGAGATGTGAGAACCAAAGGGGTGATGACACTAACTCAAGGCCCAATCTTCGAGTCATGGATCTCAATTTCCAAGGAACAAAACTCAGTCTGAAGTAAATTGTTTTAAATAAAAACTTAAGACATTTTAATTGGACATTAGCACAAAGTTTTGGTAATTAATATAAATGAGTGTTGCCTACAAAGCAAAGTATGCCTGCTGGTGAGCCACACAGATGGTGCTCCTTCAGGCTGAGGTTGTGTGCGCCCCAGCTCAGCTCATTGCTGGGATTCTCTAACTAAATCCACACTCCAGAGGATGGTCCTGGGGCTAGCTGGCCCTGAATAGCATGTAGAGCACAGGCAGTGTGGCCACAAATGTCACACAAGTGAGCAGCGTGCTGTAGATGGTGTTCCTGTTGACATGGGCTTCTAGCCTCTGCTCCGTATCCGACAGTGCCAACATCATGCTCCCCTGTTCCAGCAAGGAGCTGGGCAGTGCCCTGTCTGCTGGCTCCACCAGGCCTGTGGGTGACGCCTTTGCAAGCTGAACCTCCCCAGCCATTTGACTGAAAGTCTTTTCTAGGCCATCAAGTTGTTCTCGTAAACCTTCTAGACATGACTGGACCTGCCTGGAATGACGGAGCTGCTCTTTCAAGGCAGCTGAAAGGACATCTGTGTCTCTGTCTCGGGTGGGGAAAATACCTGCCCGTGACCCAGAGGCCTGGCCTGGCCCAGCGTGCACCAGGCCCCTCAGGTCCACCATGAGGTCGTGAAGGTCCTTCTGCTGGAGGGAATAGCTAGATGCCTGTTCTCGAATGGCCTCCTGGAGACTCACAGGCCCCTTCTGTGCCTCCAGAAGTAAGGCTTTCAGCTCCTGTAGCCGAACGCGGTTCACATAGGTGGAGCCAGCCACACCGATCAGGGCCCCCAGGACTGACCCAATGAGGGACCAGTTTTTGGTCCTCTCAGCCCTTGTGCGTTCCTTCTCATGACTTTCCCGCACAGCTGCAGAAAAGAGAGAGAATTTCTCTCGCTCAGAGTCTTCTGCACGCAGATAAGCCAGGCGAAGCCTCTTCTCCTCCTGCAGAAGCAAAGCTATGTTACATGGGTGCAAGGTGGGCCTCCAGCCTTAGCCACCACCACTACCTTGTGCCTGGCACAGAGTACATGTTCCATAAACACATGCTGAACAAATGAAGGCAGCATAAACCTGGTGGGTGGGGGGAGCAAAGGAATCAGGAGTGGTCAAAGTAAGCTGCATAATCTTCCCACCTGAGCAGTCTTGGGTTTGTCCAGAGGTGGACTGGTATCTACAAAACGTTATCTATAGGAAGGAAAGTGTCTGGCACTCCCTGGGCCAGCCCCTCCATGGGACTCCCTCCTTAGCAATCTAGGTCCCAGAGTCTAGTGCCCTGGACTGTTGACTTTAGTACTATAGAAAGAAGTGGGCAGACAGGCTCTGGAAGCCTGAGGCCCTGTCCTTCCATAGGGGCTTCTGGCCTCTGTCCACCAGACTGGTCAGGGTTCCCACCTGGCCCCTCCATGATCTGCCAGACCAAAGTCACTGTCCAGGTGAGAAAAGGCTGCCTCCCAATGTGCCTACCTGCAGCATCCTGTGCTCCAGAGTAGCCAGTTCCAAGTACTGATTGTCCTCCCTGGAGACACGGTCCAAGCGGTCCCTCACCTCCTTCAGCTTGGCCTGCTGAACTTCCAAGTCCTCTCGAGCCTCTCCGACAAGCCCTCGAGCCACCATGAACACTTTCTCTGCCTGCAGAGAGAACAACGGAGGCCATCTGTCCCTTCTCTTTACCCCCACACAGGCTCACCTCCATTCCCAACAAGGTTGTGACTAAGAAGAGGTCACTGGGGTGTAAGCTACAAAGGGTGGAAATAAACTCCCTTAAATACTAATCCTGGCTCACTCAGTAGTACTCAAAGTGCAGCCCCAGGCCACGCCCATCAGAATCACCAGATTTTTAATCCATTCAAGTAGAAATAACATGCCCCTGAGAAACCTGAAAACAGCAAACAATATACACACCAAACCTAGTCAACTCTGGCCGGATACAAACCACTGTAAGGAACCTATATTTCTACGCTACTTCCCGTGTTGCCTTACATATGCTGTATAACACCATGAAAGGCATTACTATGGTGTTTGTTTATTTTAAGGTCTCACTCTGTTGTCCAGGCTGCAGTGCAGTGGCCTGAGGTACAAAGGCTGAGGTGGAAGAATCCCTTGAGCCCAGGAGTTTGAGGCTGCAGTGAATTATGATGATGCCACTGCCGTCCAGCCTGGGCGAGAGTGAGACCCTGTCTCAAGAAAGAAAAGAAAAGGCAAGTCTGGATGTGGCTTCCCAGCACCACATGGCTGATGACTTGTTTGGCAGCAGCCACCACGCCACCTTTCCCAAGACAGAGGACACGGCCAACCTCCCCAGCTCCCTCCTCACCTCAGTCACATTTCCCTGGGCCTCTCGAACTTCATTGAGTCCGACAAACTCTTCATATCTGTCCCACCAAGTCTTGGCTGTGGAGGATGCTCGTTGCTGAAGGCTGTGCCCCAGGGCTCTTCCCAGCACTGTGAGGCGGTGATACAGCCCAAGGGCTGCTGCCTCTTCAGGTCTTTTCTCTCCAGGCTGGCTGGGGCCTGGGCTGCAGAGAGTCCTGATCATAAGGAGGTCCCTTCCAAGGAGACCCCTCCGTACCAGTACGCAGGACCCACCCACGATGTGCTGCATGGCAAACACAGGGCTGCACCCTGTCATCGGGAGATCTGTGAGGGGGATGCCAGACAGATCAGCTCATAATGGAGAAAGGCTGGACAAAAGTCAGGTTCAAGGCCTAGGCACAGCTCAGACTAATTTCCACTAAAATCATGTAGACGGAGCACCACTCTGTTGGGTCCAGAGGCTGCAGCCCCTGTGGCAAGAGGGTGTTCAGGCTTTCCCTGGGTGCTCCTGGACAATGGAACACATTTGGGGAAGAACTTATGTAGATCATGCCTTCCACCTCCCTCCCCATGCCACACAACCAGACTCTCCCATTCCACCCACCTGCCCACATCCCTCAGGTCTCTCTGCTGTGACTTGGATGAGAATCCTGGTGCACAGTTTTCTGATATGAAAGAAAGTTCTCAAGCCTAAGTTATGTCCCTGCTGACAAAGGCTCACAAAGATTCATGAAGACTCCCTGGGAAGTTGTGGAACTGTGGGGAGTTCAGGGAAGATTAAGATCCTGGCTCATTTCTGTAGAAGACCCTCAAAACCAACTTCCCAGACACTGCAAGGGCCGCCTCAGCACTGGAAAAGCAGAGTTTCAACTGTATTTGAGGACAAAAGGACACAGGTCATTTGTGTCCCAAGGCAAACTCTCAGCTTTCCTCTGGGAGGTTTCCTCTTTTCCTCCTGGGGAAAAGAACTGCTTTCACCACAGAGGACAACTTCTCTTAGGTTCACACCTGCCCTTCTCCTTCTGCCCTCCACCTCCAGACTTTTCAGACCACTAACTCCCATCTCACATTTCCTACCTTCCATAAGCTTTCTCCTTCCTCTCCGACCTTAGTCACTGCTCAACGGATTAGGTTTCTTTAATCTTTCCTTTTTCTTCTCTTTTCTTTTTTTTGTTTAACTATCACCTGCTTCCACATGGCATAATCTTTCCCTTTTCAACCTTGCTTTGCTGTTTGGGCCCTAGCAACTCCTACTTCTCATTACCTGAACATCTCAGGGACTCTCCCATTATCCAGAGTCAGGCCTTGCCTCAGTCCAAAAGCACCAGTGGCTCTGAAGATTCCCGAAGAGGGGGCCAAGTGACTTATTTTCCCCCGTGGGGGAAAAGTTGGGCCACTAGCACCCTCCTATGGACAAACCACACCTCAAAGGCCAGAAGCACTGATCCTGGCTGCCAGGGCGACACCTGGTGGCCAAGTGACCAGGCCAGAGAAAGAAATGCTGGGGGCAGGTACAGGGCGTGGGGAAGCAAAGCAGAGGGAGCAGGGATAGGCAGACAGACTGGAGGAGCTCCAGGTACAGAACAGAAAGGAGCTTCCTGAAGTAAGGTGATGTGGAACAAAAAGCCAGCCGCCCATAACATCCCAGCCTCCTCCCCATTGTGCTGTACTGAGAGCTATCTTTGGAGATGCTTAGGGCCTCTTGAAAACAAAGCTGGTAGGGACATGCCTTCTGGTCAAAATGGGCGTGAGCTGAGAACTACAAAACAGGACATCTCTATGACCACCATTCATGAGGCTGGGTTTCATACCCAAAGAAGTGCATGCACTTCATCCATGCCCCAGCAGTCGGGCCAGTCTCCCAGGCCTCAACGCCAGTACCCACGGCACCCAGCCCTGCACACGCATCCTTCATCAAAGCAAATAAAGCATGCAGCTCTGCAGCCCCATAGTCCCACCAAACAAGCACAGCAGAAAGGTGTCCCTCCGCCACGGATGGCATCACTTCCTCACCTTCCTTCTCTCTCGATCCCACTCCACCACTGAGGCTACTCTCCTTGAGGCCCCTCAAAACTTCCACCTTGCTAGATCCAGTAGGTGCTTCTCAGATTTCTACTCCCATCTCTCTGCAGCTTTCAACACCCTCTCTTTCTGAAACCACTGCTCCCTCTCGGCTTCCTCCAACCTTCAGACTCCTCGGCCAGTCTCTCCTCTACCAGTTGCCCACTCTTAGATCCCAGGAAGGTCACCCATTCCTGACAAAGATGACAGCTATAGCTATGCAATCTTGGCTTCCTCCTCTGCCCCACATCCTGTTCTGCACACGGCAGCCACAGGCTTTGTTATCCTGTAAGTCAGACTACGTCCCTCTGCTCAAAACCCTCAACAGCTCCCATCTCACCTGGCATGAACACTGGTCCTAGCAGTGGCCAATAAGCCCCAGTACCTCCCAGCCCTCCTCCTCATCCTTCTATCACCATACTCCACTCCAGCTACCCTGACATACTAAGTGCTGCCATCTTCTCCACCTACACTATTCTTCCTCCAAAAATCTGCTCAGCTCACTCTGACATCTACGTCTTTGCTCAAATGTCACCTCTCAGTAAAGCTTTGTTGACCACTCCCTCCCTGACCATCTTACCTGCTTTATTTTCCTCCTGGTGGACACACAGTTCCTCGTTTATGTGGTTCCCATCCCCCCACTAGAACATAAGCTTGGTGACAGCAGGGACTTCACCTCATAAGAGAATGTGTCAATAACTCCCAAGTTGTTTCTCCACTCCCGTCCCTCCTCTCAGCCTCTCTACCACACCATCCCACCCTCCAGGCCGATCTCTCAGCCCCCATGCTGTCCCCACTTAGATGTCTCACAGGCCTCTCAAGCAGCAAGGGGAAGACTCTTCCTGGCAAAGGGAAAAGGCAGAGAGGCTGAAAGGCAGCCAGTGTAGCTGGAAAGTAAAAGCAGAGAAGAGGCTGGACGGGGGTGAAGCAGAGCCCTGAGAGCCAAGTTCAGAATCTCACCCCTCCAAATCCATTCTCCCACTCTTATGTAGATGGCTGTCTCCTACTAACTGACCCTTCCTAACTTCCATCATCTGTACTTCATCCTCATTTGCACCTGATGGTTTGCTTCATTTTTCACCAAGAAAATAATAAAAAATTGGAAGAGAACTTCCACAAACTCCCACCACATCTTCCCAACTACCCCATTTCCACCTTCTCTCGTGGTCCTCAGGATGAAAAATCCAGGTTCCTAGGGAAGATAAACCCATGCCCCAGGTCCTAAATCTTCTCCCCTCCTTAGACATTGCTCAGTAATTTATCTGACATCCCTCTAGCAACTGCCCCATTTCTCTATGCTCTTTATAACGAAACTCCTTGATAGGCTGTCTGAACTCACTGTCTCTGCTCCTCTTCTCCCATTCGGCCTAACCATCTCTGATGTGGGCCACCATGCCACTGGAACTGCTCTTGTCCAGGTCACCTTCACACTGCTAAACCCAATGATCAGTTCTCAGTCCTCACCTCACTTGCCTCGTCATCAGCAGCCTACGTGTCATGATAGCTCTCTCCTCCTTCAAATGCCATTTTCACTTGGCTTCCAATCCCCACTCATCTCCCTAACCTCTGGACAATGTAGTACCCCAGGGCTCGGTGCTCAGCCTCCTTTCTCATCCAATCCTGTGGCTTTAAAATTCACCTGTGAAAATGTTCTAAAACTGGCCGGGCATGGTGACTCACGCCTGTAATCCTAGCACTCTGGGAGGCCACCGCAGGAGGATGGCTCAAGATCAGGAGTTCAAGACCAGCCTGAGCAAAAGCAAGACCCCATCTCTACTAAAAATAGAAAGAAATTACATAGACAACTAAAAATATATAGAAAAAATTAGCTGGGCATGGTGGTGCATGCCTGTAGTCCCAGCTACTTGGTCAGAAGTTTGAGACCAGCCTGAACAAGAGCGAGACCCCATCTCTACTACAAACAGAAATTAATTGGCCAACTAAAAAAAATACATATATATAAAATTAGCCCGGCATAGTGGCATATGCCTGTAGTCCCAGCTACCCGGGAGGCTGAGGCAGTAGGATCACTTGAGCCCAGGAGTTGGAGGTTGCTGTGAGCCAGGATGATGCCACAGCACTCTAGCCAGAGCAACACAGTGAGACTCTGTTTCAAAAAAACAAAAAAAGAAAGAAAGAAAATGTTCTAAAACTGATTGTGGTGGTAGTTGCACAGCTCTGTGAATATACAAAAACCACCAAGTCGTACACATTGAATGGGTGAGTTGTATGATATGAAAATTATATGTCAATAAAGCTGTTATTGTTATAGTGAGACTCTATAGTCCCACTTACTCAGAAGGCTGAGGTGAAGAATAGAATGGAATAGAATTCTCCAGCCCAGACCTCTGCTCAGCATTCCAGGCTCATTTATCACACTGCCCAAATCATATCTATGCTTGAAAATCTAATGGAGATGTTCTCCTCCCAAGCCTGCTTTTCCCATAGCCTTCTCCATCTTGGTCGACAGCAACCTCAAATCGAAATGCTCAGGCTAAAAACTTCACATCATCTCAGACTCCTCACTTTCTCTCCTACCTCACATTCAATCTATCAGCAATTCTCACTGGCTTTCTAGATCCAGGACTAGGATCCTTCCACCTCCTTTTTTTTTTTTTTGAGACAGAGTCTCACCCCAGCTAGAGTGCTGCAGTCATCATAGCTCACTGCAACCTCAAACTCCTGGGCTGAAGTGATCTTCCTGCGCTTCCCAAGTAGCTGCAACTGCAGGAACTCACCACTGCACCTGGCTAATTTTTCTTTTTTTCTTTTTGAGACAGAGTCTCTCTGTTGTCCGAGATAGAGTGCCGTGTCAGCGTAGCTCACAGCAACCTCAACTCCTGGGCTCAAGCAATCTTTCTGCCTCAGCCTCCCAAGTAGCTGGGACTACAGGCATGCACCACCATGCCTGGCTAATTCTTTCTATATATTTTTTTAGTTGGCCAATTAATTTCTTTCTATTTTTAATAGAGATGGGGTCTCACTCTTGCTCACGCTGGTTTCAAACTCCTGACCTTGAGTGATCCTCCCACCTTGGCCTCCCAGAGTGCTAGGATTACAGGCGTGAGCCACCACGCCTGGCCTATTTTTCTATTTTTAGTAGAGACAGTGTCTCATTCTTGCTCAGGCTGGTCTCAAACTCCTGACCTCAAGCAGTCCTCCCACCTTGGCCTCCCAGAGAGCTAAGATTACAGATGTGAGCCACCACTTCCAGCCCCTTTCTTTTCTTATTTCTGCCACTGTTACCAAGTGGTCCCAATGACCATCTCTTGCCTGGATTATCCCAAGAACCTCCCAACAGGAGTCTCCCTGCTTCTATTCCAGCATCCTACAATCTATTGTCAACAGAGCAGCCAGTGGTTCTTTCAAAACACAGGTGAAACCATGTCTTTCCCTGTTCAAATCCTAAAACTGTTTCCCATTTCTCTCACAGTAAATGCCATGTTTTTTTCCATAGCCTACAAGGAATCTACCCCCTGGCTCTCACTCCTCTCTGATCTCTTCTCCCACTAGTCTCTCTTTCCTCACTCCCGTATACTCACATGGGCCTTCCTGATGTTGCTGGAACACACGGATAACTAGGCTATCTGTGCTGCTTGTTTCCTCACCTTTCTTCAAGTCCTGCTCGAACATCAGATCTTAGGGAGGTATTTCCAGACCACCCTATCTGATAGCACCATCCCACCCTCACCCTAGCACTTAATCACTTTCCTTTCTCCACGCACCTATCACATGACCTGCAATATGTATGCCGCCTATCTGTCTCACCTCTGCCAAGGCAGGAAGTTTTGTTCACTGCTGTATCTCCAATGTCTAGAATATCACTTAAAAAGATGATGGGAAATTACTTAATAGGTACAAAGTACATTATTCCAGTAATGGATACACTAAAAGTCCTGACTTCTATACAATATATCCATGTAACAAAATTGCACTGTACCCCATAAATTTATACAAATAAAATTTTAAAATAATAAAAAAAAAAGAATACTACCTACATACTCAACAAAAAATGTACTGGCTGAATAAAGAGAATTCGCAGTTGCACCACTGACTATATTATAAAACCCAAACTCCTTCCAGTGGCTTCCAAAGCTCTAGGATCACAAATGGAAACACAAAAATTTACCTCTGACACAGATTCATAGTTAAGTTTCCAAGTATCTTCCACAATTTCTTGCCCCTAATTCCTGTTTCACTGACTCTTACTGCTTAAACGTTAAACTTGCAGAGGCTTCCAAAGCTCTAGGACCACCGGTGATCGACCTCCCGCCCACTTCTACCACCTCCCCCATCTCCGTCCAGCCACGCTGTGCTTTCCTCAGAGGAACGAACCTAGCTTCCAGGCCTTTGCACCTGCCCTTTCCTATACTGCAGTGTTGCAGTGCTCTTCCAGCGCACCGTCACAGGCCTGGTGTCTTCCGGTTAAGTATCCCCCACGCACCCGCGGTTCTGGATTCTACCTTGGCACAAAGACCCTCCCCCTTCGTACCTGGCGCGCCTACAGAGCCCAAGCAGCAACCGCGACCAAGCGTCTGCCACTCAATTGCCCTCTGACCCGTTAGTGCCCGCCCTCAGAGCCGCTTCCGGTAGTGGAAGTTCAACTTCCTGACTAGGAGCCAATCAGCGGGTTCGCGTCGCGGTATAGGAGTAGGGGTGGGCCAGAAGCTCCTTTTCCGGCGGCAGGATCTGGGCAAGGGGCGGCGGCGCCATGTCCGGCCGCGAAGGTAAGTGTGCCTGGACGGCGGGGAACGCGGGGCGGGGGCCGGCGGTGGGGACAAGCCAACCGTGTTTGTGTCGCCCACAGGTGGCAAGAAAAAGCCCCTGAAACAGCCCAAGAAGCAGACCAAGGAGATGGACGAGGTGAGGGCGGGCGCGGAGGTGGGGGCAGGCGCGGAGGGACTGAGACCAGCGTGGAGTGAACCCGCTCTGCCTCTTTCTAGGAAGATAAGGCGTTCAAGCAGAAACAAAAAGAGGAGCAGAAGAAACTCGAGGAGCTAAAAGCGAAGGCCGCGGGGAAGGGCCCCCTGGGTAAGTAGGGGCTGAATGGCGCTCAAGCCAGACAAATGCCTGAGCACCTGTTGCGATGAGGGCTCGGATGTGTCTCTTTCCTACACGTTAGTGAACTTCGAGGTCTTAGGTCCTGATGTCTGCTGGGGTGGACAGCCCTAGCCAGTCTTAGAGTTGCAGCAGTGGAAAGGGGCGAGAGCCAGAACCAGGACTGGAAACGAAGTCTCTCTCCTATGCAGTCTGGGATTCCACTCCTTAAGGAAGCTGCAGAAATGGAAACACAAAAATTTGCCTCTGACACAGATTCATAACAGTTAAATGTCTAAATATCTTCCACAATTTCTTGCCCCAAATTCATGTTACACTCTGTCTTATTGCTTAAATATTATTTGACTTACAACTTTTTAAAATTTACTGCTCATATTGTCTCTGGTAAATGCTTTTGTGTCCTGAGTCTTTTCACTTCTGGGTGTGCCTCGATTAAAAGACAAAGTCCAGGCTCCTTGGCATCCATATACTCTTATAAACTAACCCCTTTGCTTCTTTTCCCTTATGTAAGAGAAATTCATTACATTTCAAGCCCAGCAATCCTAATACTTTATGTACTTCCTAAATGCTTTGCATTTGTCAAACTAGTGATTATTTGCTCTACCGTTGCCTGTGCCTTGTTTGAGCATTGTGGGCCACACTGAGCGTGGTGAGAGTGTCATCCAGGTTTCTCAAGACCTCTCTTCCAGTGGGTTTAATCCATTATTGTTTACCCACATGGTACTGCCTGGGTATTGAGATTCCTAGGGGAGTGATGTGGGTATTTTGCACCTTCCTTTAATCTGTGATATTATACAGGGAAAAGATCATTCCTTAGTGAAGCCCTATACTGCTAGTTTCTTATTGAGCATCATCTAATATTTTAAGGTTTATTTTGTCGCAGCTTTTGTGGATATTCATTCCTATATTAAGCATACTTTACAGCTATTTCTTTGGTTTTTGTTTTTTGAGACAGAGTCTCGCTTTGTTGCCCAGGCTAGAGTGCTGTGGCATCAGCCTAGCTCACAGCAACCTCAAACTTTTGGGGTCAAGCAATCCTTCTGCCTCAGCCTCCTGAGTAACTGGGACTACAGGCACGCGCCACCATGCCCGGCTAATTTTTTCTATATAATTTTAGTTGGCCAATTAATTTGTTTCTATTTTTAGTAGAGATGGGGTCTCACTCTTGCTCAGGCTGGTTTCAAACTCCAGACCTTGAATGATCTTCCCACCTTGGCCTCCCAGAGTGCTAGGATTATAGGTGTGACCACCACGCCCGGTCTGTTGTATTTTTATTTGTTTTAATTTCAGAGTATTACGTAGGTACAAATGTTTTGGTTACGTAAACTACTTTTGTACAGTTTGAGTCAGTTATAAGTGTGTCCATCACCCAAACAGTGCATTGTACCCATTAGGTATGAATTTACTCATCCCCTACTCCCCCTCCTACCCGCTTGATTTCTGATAAGTTTTATTTCCATATGTGCACATAAGTGTTGTTCGATTATTTCTAATTTAATGGTGAGTACATGTGCTTGTTTTTCCATTCTTGTAATAATTCACTTAGAAGAATGGTCTCCAGTTCCATCAAGGTTACAAGAAGTATTAGTTCACCGCTTTTTTTAAGGCTGAGTAGTACTCCATGGTGTATGTATACATTTTATTAATCCACTGATGCACTGATGGGCACTTGGGTTGTTTGCAATTGTGAATTGTGCTGCTATAAACATGAGTGCAGGTGTCTTTTTTATAGAATGTCCTTTTTTCGTTTGGTAAATACCCAGTAGTGGGATTACTGGATCAAATGGTAGTTCTACTTTTAGTTCTTTGAGGTATCTCCATACTACTTTCCATAGAGGTTGTACTAGTTTGCAGTCCTACAACAGTGTGTAAGTGTTCCTGTCTCTCCACATCTATGCCAGCATTTGTTGTATTGAGATTTTTTGATAAAAATCATTCTCAAGCCGGGCGCAGTGGCTCACGCCTATAATCCTAGCACTCTGGGAGGCTGAGGCGGGCAGATTGCTCAAGGTCAGGAGTTCGAAACCAGCCTGAGCAAGAGCAAGACCCCATCTCTACTATAAATAGAAGAGAATTAATTGGCAACAATATTATATATAATTAGCTGGATGTGGCGCTCCTGTGTCAGCTACTGTGAGGCTGAGGCAGGATTGCTGAGCCCAGGAGTTGAGTTGCTGTGAGCTAGGCTGGATGCCACTTGCATTTTTATTCTTATTTTTATGTTCTGGTCACTATTACGTGTCTCCTATATATATTTTATTTGTGTTTTCGGGCGGGTGTTCTTATCTATATTTTAGTCGTTGTGCCGTTTGGCGGGCGGATCGCTTCATTGCGAGGTCGGTCGTTTTGTTACCAGCCTGAGCAAGAGCAGAGATTTTATTTTTTTTTTTTTTCTATAAAAAAGAAAGAACAATTTGGCCAATATTTGTTTTTTTTATAAAAATTAGCTGGGCGATGGTGGTCTGCATGTATTCCAGCTTGTGTTGTGTGAGGACGCAAGGTGTTGTGTCTTAGTTTTTGAGGTTGCTGTGAGCATAGCTGAGCCACGGATCTATAGTTCCTTTTGGTTTGTTTAAGTGGGAACTCTGTCTCAAAAAAAATAAACAAAAATTTTTGTCACTATGTTTTGATGTGTTTATTGTTTGTTGTGTGTTGTATTGTTTGATGTTAGAGACATTGGCATTTTTTTATGTTGTTTTACTCTTTTATGGAGAATTCTTTCATTTCTTTCCTTTACAGCTTTTTTTTTATGTGTTCACTTGTTGCCCCATGGGCGGCCATGGCATGTTAATTTTGTGATTTTGTTTTCTGTCTGTTTTCTGGAGTAGGCTGACTAAGCGCACCCTTTTGTGTGTTATTTTTAGGTTGGCCAATAATTCTTTCTGTGTTATAGAGATGTTGGCTCTGCTCGGCTGGTTTGAACTCTTGACCTTGGTTGGATCGCCACCAGGCCTCCCAGAGTGCTAGGAGTACAGGCGTGAGCCACCGTGCCCGGCTTGTATTTCTTAAATTACCTATTGGGTGTATATTGTCGTTTGTAAATTGGGTAAAATAAAAGTATTGAGTAAAATATAGATACTGAATAAACCAGATGCCAGGATCATAATATGGAAGGTAGTGTAGTGTAATGTGGCAGTTAAGAACTTTGTAGTCAGACTGTCAAGGTTGGAATCCTGGCTGATTACATACCAGCTTATAACCTTGAACAGCTAAGACTTATCCGTAAAATGCATTGATAAGCCATGAGGTTTAAATGAGCTAATCTGTGAGGTGCACAAGTATAGATCCAGACCAGTGCACAGTCATTGCTTGTGCCTATGCTTCATTCTCATTCTACCTGTCCTCAGAATAGACAAGGTCAGTGAAGCTGCAGTACAGACTTGTGTCAAAGCAAATACCTAGTAGAAAAGCCAACCCTTGGAGAGAGAGAGAGTAAGAGAGTCAGTAAAAAAAAAAAAAAAAAGAAAAGCCAAGCCTTACTAGGATCCACATCAGGTCTGTGAGGCTTCTACCATAAGAACAGTATCTTTCCCTAACTATGACTTTTTTTTTCCTTTTGCAGCTACCGGTGGAATTAAGAAATCTAGCAAAAAGTAAGCTGTTCCTTGTGCCTGAGGCGATGATGACCCTTGATTCCTATTTAAACATCTGTACTCCCTGCCATAACATCTTTTGCCACCTATAGCTAAAATGAAGTGTTGTCTTGGAGCCTATTGTACATTTAAGAATAAACTTTTGTTAAAAAAAAAAAGAAAAAAAAATCATACAGTGGCTCATCATCTCTTTAGCTGTTTTTACTCAGCTACTCCTACCTTAGCTGTGAAATAAAGTAAAACCACCCCAGAATCCTGCCGGAGTCTGCTCTTTGGTCTTTGTTGTGCCCTGAATTCTGTATCACCTGGAATTAAACCAGCTCATTTGAAAGGCTATCGTTCTTGTGTGGTTATATACCCAACGGAATACCATACTTGAGGTTAGTGGAAGAATTTGCACTTTGGGAAGAAAACCCACCTTTCTCTGGTTATGATATCTAAGTGGCCATATGTTTTGATGGAATTGTTCATCTGTTCATGTAAGGGATCTGCTATGTGCAGACAAAGGGGCATGTAGCAGCAGATAGCTGTTGTCAGAGAACTTTATTGTGGCCGGGGTGCTGGGCAAATGATATGCACTATGAAGGAAAAAAAATGGGAAAGGAGAAAGGTTCCTGAGTCTCTAGGAACCATACTATCTCAAAAGCCCTCAAGGATTGCGTTTCCACTAGGGCTTCAGTAAGGTTCTTGCTGGGTTCCCATGTCTTATACCCCACATTCCATTGATCAGCAAAATAAAATCTGACCTTCATATTCCTTCCAGTACCATCCCCCCATCCTAATCTTATAATCCTCCACCTAGATTATTGTAATCACTTCTAAATTCATCTTCCTGCCCCTACCCTTGCTCCTCTGCAGTCTATAATCTTCACTCAGACCCAGTGTTTCTTGCTAAACCCTACTTTCCTTGGCTCAAGAATTCTTCAGTGGCTTTGTAGAGCAAAAGCCAAAGTCTTTATGATCACCAGTGAGCCCCTAAGGGATCTGAATCCCACTCCCTTCCCTCTGATAGCTACTATTCATGGCCCCCATCCATCTTCAGCCATGATGGTCTGCATTTCAGGCAAGCTCCCACTCGTGTTTTCACCAACTCTTCTGCCTACCACACTGTTCTAGATATTGGACACCTCATTCCCTCCCTTTAGAGAAATGATACCAGTGTCTCAGTAGCAAGCTTTTCTCTGGTCACTATAAAATGGTAGTTCCAATATCT